CTAAAGATTCTTTTCATAGAGGAAGTTGTTGCTTCGTCTGATACTTTGGGTTTGAGTTAAGACCGAACTAAAAAATAGCTAAATAGCCTACCTTCACTTTGTTCCCCTTCCATACATTTTCAATTTTGATCCATTTCTAAAATAGAGATAGATTGATTATCTATTCCTCTCCCAGGTTCATGAATGTTCAATGGCTTCTCTCTGCTTAGAAGTCTACGACAAACCACTTAGCCTGGCACATGAGGCCACAGGAACTGGCCCAAGCTCTGTCCTCTCTCATCACCCACTACATCCTTCAAATAGGACACCCAAGCATATTGCAAAACAAAGACTTGCTGCTTTCTTGCCTGAAATGTGAATCTCTCATCTTGAAATCCTATTCATCCATCCAAGCCAGGGACAAATCATGTATAGAATGGCAACAAATAGTACTATTATTTTAAAATAGTTCTAAATATTATTAAGTTCCATAATACTCAACTAAGTCTGGGAGGAAAGATTAATTGAAAAAAAGAAAAAAAAGATTGAGAAAGGTCTCGGCCTTTTCCAAACATGTGATTGATAGGGTATTCAACAGTAGATTCAAATTCAATTTCAAATTAGGGAAGAATATTTAACATCACCTCTAGAGGGTTTTTTTTTCCCCTCAGCAACTCTAAATCTACCAGAAGGCCTTTGCAGCAGTTTTCTCAAAGTGTAACAAATTCTACTTTGTGAATCATCTCTTCATGTTTAATTATAAGGATTTGAATTTGCAGCACCAATTAATCAGTAATTAGATAGTACTGTACCAAAAGAAATTAAACAAAGATAAAAACAAAAACACAACTCCGCACAAGACCATATCATCTAGTAACATTTCATGTAGCAAGATAAAAATACTCCTGGAGAGATACAGGTTAATTGAATTAGGAACAATGTATTCTTTTGATTTTTGGTTACTATTGTTGTCAGTGATCTCCAAAACCAGTGGGAAAATCAAAAGTAATCCAAATACAAAAACGCTCTGATTATACTAATGTTTATTCCTCTTTTCATTCTTCATCAGAAATCCAGTTTATGACACTCAATAATTGTTCTGAAATGTAGTGGTAAACTTTGGCAATGCAAAAAAAATGTTTATTTTTTTTTAATTTAAATTCAATTAGCCAACATATAGTATATCATTAGTTTCAGATGTAGAGTTCAGTAATTCATCAGTTGCATATAACACCCAGTGCTCATCACATCACGTGCCCTCCTTAACGCCTGTCACCGCCCCAATCCCCACTCCAGCAACCCTCAGCTTGTTTCCTATAGTTAAGAGTCTTGGTTATTTTTTAATGATACATTCTCTGTTGATCTTCATGTTTAAAAAACACAAAAATCAGCTTTTGAGTTAATTATCATTTAGACCTCTAAAACAAAATGTTCACCTTCGATGTGAAAAAAAAATCCAAAAAGATACAAAGCAGATTGAGGAAGGAAAAGTAAAGGTTCCTGAAACCAAGATGTAAGAGAGGAAAAAGGCGTGTCTGTGCAGCAAATCCCTTTAGAATCAGGGCAGAGGACAAGGGGACCTTCTCCCTACAGTCAGGCCATTTCCCTGTGCCAAGCTTATGGTGACTTCTCCTGGTTCTCAAGCCTTTTGTTAATAAGAGAAAGAGAAGAGTGAAAGTTAGAAAGAGAAAGCAGCCTCTCCCATAATTCAGTCTTTTTTTTTTAATTTAACTTAATTTTATGTTAGTCACCATACAATATATCATTAGTTTTTGATGTAGTGTTCCATGATTCATTGTTTGCGTATAACACCCAGTGCTCCATGCAGAACGTGCCCTCTTTAATACCCATCACCAGGCTAACCAATCCCCCCACCCCCCTCCCCTCTAGAACCCTGTTTGTTTCTCAGAGTCCATAGTCTCTCACAGTTCATCTCTCCCTCCGATTCCACCCCCCTTCATTTTTCCCTTTCTTCTCCTAATGTCCTCCATGCTATTCCTTATGTTCCACAAATAAGTGAAACCATATGATAATTGACTTTCTCTGCTTGACTTATTTCACTTAGCATAATCTCCTCTAGTCCCATCCATGTTGATGTAAAAGTTGGGTATTCATCCTTTCTGATGGCCGAGTAATCTTCCATTGTATATATGGACCACATCTTCTTTATCCATTCATCTGTTGAAGGACATCTCGGCTCTTTCCACAGTTTGGCTATTGCGGACATTGCTGCTATGAACATTGGGGTGTATATGGCCCTTCTTTTCACTACATCTGTGTCTTTGGGGTAAATACCCAGTAGTGCAATTGCTGGGTCATAGGGTAGCTCTATTTTTAATTCAGTCTTGAAAGAGATGACAAAGCAGCCTGCTCGTGTGGGTCCCCCACTAGCATGGAGTGATCCCGACAGCTGGGCTCTAGGGAGGGCAGCCGGGCAGAGGAGCCCCAGGGTTATAGGTTATAGGCTGGTTAGAGGGCAAACCTTTCTCCTTCAAAGCTTCTGATTACTCCTTCCCCCTGTGACTGTGACTACATAGGGAGATTGAACCAACAAAATACTCAAAATTACCTTAAGGCACTTTAAGTTCTTTCCCTGGTGCTGTTTCAGGAGGCTTTGTGTCGGTAAGAACCTGGCATCACCTTTACTCCCAAGTATGAGGATCATGTAAATTATGGATATTGTGAAATCTTTTCATTGTGTGCCAAATGAATGAGCAGGTTTTTCCCTCAGTGTATGAGATTGTCTTGAAAACTCTTACAAAATGAATTTCACTGTGTACTCTCAAGCTTGCTTTCTAGAAGCATTTAATTGCCATTCTCTGAAAAAAGTAATTTGTCTTTTGATAGAACAATTTGCCAAGAAAGAGGGTAAGGTGCTCTGAGAAGAACTATAGAAGAAAATTTGAAAGATTCTCATCTCTTGGTCGAAATGGCTCCTCAGACTCTCCTCGGTTGTTTCAAAGCTCAAACCACTGATGAAGAGCTTCTGCAGCTTTTCAGGCTCTTTGGGAGACTCTGACTTAGACATGACGGCGGTGGGAGGGGAGACTTTACCGATGAATATTCTCTTGAAAAAAAAAGAAGAAAGAGTAAGCTTTGTTTAGTAATTTAGCGTCGCCGTGGACATTGGAGAGCCAAGTTGTGATAATTTTTACAACTTCATGATGAAATTAATTGAGCAGCACCCCCAAATTTGGGAACAATTAGATTTTTTCTCCAATTTAAGAATCTCTTTTCCCAGTGTATTGGGAAGTGATGCTATAAAGTTTCTATCTCTGAGTTCACTGCTTTAAAAATTTTAAAACACACCCTGAATGAAAGCCACATTTGTCAACGTGACATTCATTTGTCAATATGGTTTATTAATCCTCTGTTGTACTTCTTCAACTGTTCTCTAATTTGAAAATGTTCATCTCTCAGGAGGTGGTACAATTTATCTGATTCCAATGTACCACATAAATTTTTTCCTCTTGATATTAACTTCTTTATTGAAATAAGCTTCCACAAGCTGATTCCAGTTCACAATGATCATTATCTTATGAACCCTCACTCGGGGTTAACTGACCAGAAATTAATGAACCAGAGTAACCTCTTCATCTCAATGAATGATTACCAACGGCTCTTCACTTTAACAACATGGTAACCACTCCTGTCCCAGCTATCCTTCCTGAAGGAGAGTGTAGGAAAGCAGGGCGCTGGAGTTTAAATACCTCTCATCGCATTTCTCCTCCACCGTCTCCCATTTCAGTAAATGGCTCTAGTCAGTGCTTGGGCCAAAATGCCTGACAGCCAGCCTGGATTGCCCCCTTTTGCTCATGTCCCACACTCAAGGCACCAGCCAGTCCTGCCAGAGCAGATGCCATTGGCCGCCAACGAGCTCAAGCCACTATTTTCTCTTGTCTCAACTCCTAGCAGGTATCTCCTAACTGGCCTCCCTGCCTCTAGCCTGCCTTCCCTAAAGCCCGTTCTCCATATACAGCCCAGATCATTATTTTTAATCCTATTATGTCACTAGGCCTGCTTAAAGCTTTCCAGTGAGTTCCCATTCCACTTAGAATAACATTGAAACAGCTCCCGTGGCCAAAGGACCCCACATGACCAGCTCTGCACCCTTCTCCCCTTCTCACCCAAAGTGGGTCATTCTTCAAATACCCAGTACTCATTCCCACCATCTAGCCCATTCACAGCTGTCCCTTCTGCTTGGAGGGCATTTCCCTACCTGCTTAGAACTGATTGTCCCTGAAAAAATAAAAATAAAAATAAAAATAAATTAAAAAAAAAAAAACCGCCTGGGTGGCTCAGTCATTAAGCATCTGCCTTCGGCTCAGGTCATGATCCCAGGGTCCTGGGATCGAGCCCCGCATCGGGCTCCCTGCTCAGCGGGAAGCCTGCTTCTCCCTCTCCCACTCCCCCTGCTTGTGTTCCCCCTCTCGCTGTGTCTCTCTCTGTCAAATAAATAAATAAAATCTTTAAAAAAAAAAAAAGAAAAAGAACTGATTGTCCCCCCTTCACACTTCACCTCAGATGTCACCTCCTAGAGAAACCTTCCCTGACCACCTTACATGCAACCACCCTCAATCACTGTCATGCCAACCTGTTTAGACACTCCACAGCACTTGTCACCATCAGAAATCAGTCTGTTCCTTTTTGTTTGTTTCCTGATAACTGTGTTTCTCCCGACCGGCCTTGTCTGTTGGTCACCAGGCGTCGCCTGTGCCTAGAACAAGGTCTAACCTAGAGTACACTCTCAATAAACACTTGTTAGGTGACTACCCAGTGAATGAATCCTTCCCTTCCTCCTACTATGGGACTGCGACTGGATCACTTACCCTCTGGACCTCCGCAGAATTCCTGATCTATACAATAAAGCCGACAAAAGTTTGGATTTTATGGGACGAAGTTAAAGAGTCAGTATATACAGTAGCGTGTGGTACATGGTACGTGTGGGCCGCAGGGCCCATAATAGACCACAAGAGACATGGAGTGAGCACAGGTAACAATGTCCCCTCCTTGTTTTACAGGAAATCTTCAGAGGAACTGGACATGGACAAGGTAACAGCGGCAATGGTACTAACCAGCTTGTCCACCAGCCCTTTGGTTCGAAGCCCACCCGTGCGGCCGAATGGTAAGCCTGGGCCATGGGGCCTAGGGGAGGGCCCCCTGACACCAAGAGCAGAGCCTTTCTTTGAGGGATCTCATTTCTATTACACACACAGTGAAGAGTTTAACCGCCACCCATTAGCAGAAAGCAAGGAGAACTGTGGAAGAAATGGAGACCTCACAGCTATCATCTTCCTCCTCATCTTCCCAGAGACCTCCCAGCATCTCATTCATACATCCATCCATTCAGCTCACGTTTACTGAGCTCCAGCACCTTTCCAGAACACATCGTAAAGTGCTTGTGCTTCTTTTTTCCCAGGTAAATGGAGGTTGGTCCAATGAAGTTATTTTCACCAGCATTATTTCTGTTCAATTGGACAGGTAGTTGGATCAAAGGACTCTGAATATTAAATATTTTGAAAAAGTATGATCCTAATAGAATAATAATATTAATCAAATAGAAGTATGCAGTCCATTCATTCATTCGATATATATTTATTAGATACCATACTAGATGGTTTGAAAACAATGCATACTCAATCATTCATATTATACAATTCCTATGAGGGGAAAAAAACTATCAATCATATTAATGGCTAGCATTTATTCAGCACTTATTATATGCTGAGTACTAAGCTTGCTTCATCTCATATAATTCTCACAACAACTCTATGTTATTATCACTGTTTTACAGATGAGTAAACCGAGGCACATGAGGATTAACTGATTTGTAAATAGCAGAGCTGAAATTCCATTCCATATCTTTCTGATTCCAAATCTGCTATCTTAGTCATGATATAATATTGGCGCATATAATTCAATAGGATAAATCAAGAGGGCAGCAGAGATGAAGATAGAGAGCTTGACCCAGTAGTGATCAACGGAAGCCGTGTATTCCTGGCTAGGAGTTTGGACATTAATCTGAGGCTATAGGACAGCTATTAAGTGATAGGCTGGAACATTATTTTCAGGATTACAGGCAAATACAAAAAAACACAACCATATGGGTGTTCTGGACCTTGGTGGTCACAGTGGGGATGAGGAGGACATAACTGAGAAACGTGGAAAAGGCAGAATCGACAGGACATGGTGATGAACAGAGGAGATGAAGGAGAGGGAGTGACAAGGGTAACTTCCAGGCCGTCCGTGTGCTTCAGAAGGAGGCCCCTCCCCAAGATGGGGAGCAGAGCAGGGACATAGATCTTTGGGTGACTGTTAGGGCAAGAGGTAGGGTTGCTGAAAAAGATGAGGGTCCAATTTGGGACATGTTTAGTGGGCAGAACTTTTCAAAGGGTCTCTGTCTGGTAGAGATTTGGGTACAAGCCAGGAGAGAGACCTGGGCTGGTGATGCGGGACTGGAAGGCATCATTGCAAAGCCAGGTGAAGAGATGAGATCACTTTGAGGGGACTGTGTAGAGGTAGAGTATGACGAGAAGGTAGCTAAGGGGGATGGTAAGGCCTGTCATCCTCTAAGGGACCAGCAGAGGGAAAAAAGCCTGAGGAGACCTGAGGAGGTCACCAGAGGTGTAGAGGAGAACCAGGAGAGTGTGGTTCATGCAAGCCAAGGGAAAAGCATGTTTCAAGGAGAACCTCTGAGGCTACAGAAGGACAATCATGCGAAAGATTGAATTCTGCATCAAGTACAAGGTCACTGGTGGTTTTGGCAAGAACATTCCCAGTGGACCACCCCTGGTCACTGAAATGTAGTACACTGAGACCACTGAATGAAACCTTCTCTTCAAAGCCAGCCTAGTCAATTATGGGCCTGAGCTATGGTTCACACATCATTTGATTATCAGCCTGAGGTATTAAATATGGTGAACATCCAGTGAGTCCTCACCCGCACTTACTCCAATCCAACTGGGGCATAAGGTGCTCTTGAAATGAGCCTGACCACCCCTGTTGAATGATCTGACCTTCTTCTCTGGGCTTCTTGGCGAACAGTTACCCTGACTTACCTTTCTCAGCTTGGCAATGCCGCTGAAGAACTATTACAGCAAACACAAAACTGAAGGCATCCCCGAAGCCCATCATAGGAAAAAGGAATCGCAGAGGAGAGAAAGTATTTTTTGCTGTAATCATCATTTTTACCATTGTGTTCTTTTTTAATTGAGAACATCTTTAATGTTCTTCATGTTAAAAGGTTAGAATCAAAATAAACTTTTCGCTTCTTCGATGAAATCTTTTGTTAGAATAGTTACAAAGAAAGTAATTCAGTGTTTGTTACGATTTAAAAAAGAACTACCCAACTAATAATCCCAAATGGTCTATTATCTCTCATTTAGTCTGCAACAGGAAGCAAATTTTTAAAAAGGGAAAGCAGTTTATGAAAATGAAGGAATTAATAACTTTTTTAGAAATAAAGATTATATCCAGAATTACTGTATGTCAGTGAGTTTTTGAAAACTGTTGTGTTCCTTTTCTGTGTCTGAAAAGGATCGTTTTGTCTGGATGTGGATGTGCAAAGAGAGTAAGAGACCAACGGTGTGTGTCTACATTTTGGCAAATATTTTTTTAAGAAAAGAAGATACTGTTCTCTAAAAACACTCTGACTTTTTTCTGAAAAGTTTTTTCTATATCACATTGTCCTTCTGTTTAAATAGTGTTTCTAAAGGAAAGGTCATTCACAAGTAAGCAAATTAACTTTTGGCATTGACATGAAGCAATGTAACCACACTGTAATAATAGTTGGTTTTCAAAATAAATTCAATTCCTCATACCTAGCCCGATGACACATCTAGCACCATGAACTTATTTTATTTTACAAGTGCTTGCTGCAATATATTTATAAGCCTCATAAGCCTGCCAAGTGAGTCTGTCACGCCAGGTGATATTACCTAAGGTCTTATAGGCTCCTCTTGAGGTCGTGTTGTATTGAATGGAGCTTTCTTATTTACAGTAGGCGACTCGGGTCCGGTCAGTGCATCAGTCGCTGCGTAGACTGCAGGGGTGAGATGCTAATTTGGTTTTTGCTGAGGCTGGCAAGGTGTGAGCCTGCATAAATGACCACTGGATTCTGTTAGAGCCTTGCTTTAATGAGATGGGTAACTTACTCCTGCTATTTCAACCTCAAACTTCAGTCCACTAAGTGAACTTTTCGTATGACATAGTTGAGGAATATGCTAGCAATCCATAATTATGTGAAGATAGTTTAGAAATTTCTCCTTGAATGCTATTCTACCATTTGCCCTCATTAGTAATTACAGAGATGTGAGCAACACTTTTTTAATGAGGCATTTTGAGACTTCTTCCCCATTGTACTTAGAATATAGTTGTAATATATTCAAAATGTACATAAATATGTAGGGGAAATTATCCTTTAAAAAGAAAGTAGAATTTATACAAATGCTCATTAAGATTGGGCAGCTTGAAAGGTAAAGCAAATCTTCAGTGATTAAAAGAGCCCCCTTCCCCCCAAAGACATTCTAACTGGGCAAAGATCTCTCTACACTAGCAAACATTTCATGTTTCCCCACAAGTGGAAAGGTAAAATTCAACACCAGTCTTAGCAGTAATTATTACCAATAAATTCTCCTCTGATCTCAGTTTTGCTGGAGACAAAGGAGGCTGCTCACAACACAGGACCCACATGCATGAAAAAGACCAATGGGTAGACAAGGGTTTGGGTCTGGCACCCACCAGAGTTACATACTAGTCATGCCGCAAGTCACTTAACTTCTAGGTGCCTCACGATCTCCGCCTGTAAAATAGGCATGACAGCCCTTACTCTGAGAGACAGACGTTGTGAGAATGCGCGATAGACTGTGTGAAGGCGCTCCATGAGAGGTAAAACACCAAATGTAAGGCCCTGTTATTTGTTAGAATAAGCAGCCGTTATGATAAGGTAGATGGCCGTAGGTAACTATCTGGAAATCATTCTCTTCGATTCTTAAATCCTAGACTAACTTTTTCTATAAACGGAATGCAAGGATCACAGAACTATGAGAAATTTCTTTTGAAAAGTTAAAATAGGGGATGGGGAGTGGGGGAAGACTGCCGCCGATGATTTCTTTCTTAGAAAGGCAAGAGCTCCCCAAACTTAGTAAACAAAAACATCTTTTTTCTTATTTTCATATAATCTCCACTGTCATCCTGAGAGAAAACAACACACATCAGAAACCTGAGAAAGGCCTGCTGTGTGATTAAAATAGCTAAATGTTTATAAACTACAAAGCGACACGATTTTTTTTTTTTTGAGGTTCAGAGTACATCTTACATCCCCAGCCGTTGCAAACCGTCGAGTGGGCTGCAAGCACTTTGCTATGCATCAGCATGGATGCAGATGCTAAGCAAGAGCCTAGCATCGTGGCCCCCGGGGCCCCCGTGGCCCCCGGGGCCCCCGCCCCACCCCCGGGTGCAGCCCGAGCTCGCCCTGACGCTGTGTTTGTGTGCACGCACAGAGGGCCTCAGCGGATCCTGGAAGGAGGGAGGAGGCGTGCCTTCCAGCAGCAGCAGCAGCGGCTACTGGAGCTGGAGCGCCCCCAGCGACCAGTCCAACCCGTCCACGCCGTCGCCGCCGCTGCCCGCCGACAGCTTCAAGCCCTTCCGCAGCCCCGCGCCGCCGCCGCCGCCGCCGCCGCCCGACGACGGCATCGACGAGGCGGAGGCCAGCAACCTGCTCTTCGACGAGCCCATCCCCAGGAAAAGAAAGGTTGGTGTGTCGGCCGCGCCGTGCTGGGGTTTGGGTTGCAGGAATGTCCGCCTTGGAAGAGCCGGTGTGAGCCTGGGGCGGGGGCGGGGGCGGGGGCGGGGGGGAGGGGAGGGGGAGGGGGCTGGGGGGGATGCTGCACTCCTCCATCCCACGCCCCGTGGGGCGGACAGAAACGGCCCCTGCCCCCCTCTGATGTTCTCCGATGGCTCAAAATAAATGAAGGGTCATGATTAAAAACAAAAATGACCGAGTCACTGAGAATGTTTCTTCCAAGTACACATGCCCCGCGCCCCCACCGACCCCATCCTCCGCTTGTCAGTCGCTGCGCTGGTGTAAGAATGAACATCAGGTAGTCTGCGACCAACCAGCACTTGGAAGTTAGCAGATTGTACTTGAGGCTTGGTTTGGTAATTAACTCACTCTCTTGTTGGGACTTGATTTTTTCATCTGTAAAATAAAGTTAATACTCTTATGTTTCTCTTTTCTGCTTCAGTAAGCCCGGAAGGGTTTTGGGAAGAATATTTTGCGCCGTATTTTTATAAAATTTTTATAAAACCGGTTGAAACATACGTACCAGCTGACATATAAACGTGTGTGTACTTACATACTAAAAATTACATATTTACTACATTAAAAGTGAAAAAGGAGATCTAATTAATTGGTTTAATAAATTAATTGATTATAGTTTTATGTAATCCTCACAGCAGTCCTGCATGGTAAGTATTATTTTCCCATTTTGATACGAGGAGGTTGAGAATCAAGAGATTTTGCATTCAAGTCACCCCTGTCGCGCAGGTTAGAAAGGTCCACAGCTGTCATTCAAACACAGGTCTGCCTGGACCTCCAGCTCATATTCATATTTTTCATTTTCTTCACATACATTTAAATCATTATGTTCACTCTCCATTTTTCAAAAGTATTTCTATTTCCTGGAAAAAAGCAATACTACTATATCTAGAAAACACTTTAACATTATTTTTTAAATCACCATATAAATATGAAACTGCTATTTTACATATTGGTCTTTTAATTTGTTATTGGTAGCTTCATTATTCATGACTATTCACAAACAAAAATCCAAAGCCAAACCCTGAGGGCTGCAATGCAACGTCCCCCCCCGCCCAATTCATTTCAAAGAGCAAAACAAAGAGATGGCATGGATCCAGCTATCCCTCCCTGCATCTTTCTTAGCATCCTTCCGCATGTGTAACAGTGGGGGTTGTATAGGCACGCTCTCTACTCAGGGAACAGGGCATTCATGCAGTCCCCTGTCCTTCCCAGAGGCAGTGGCATGAGGCTTGCTGTTTTACACACCCCTCCATGGGGCAGGGGGCCTGCGGTTGCTCCAGCCTCCTGTGGGTCCCTGAGGACTCGGGGACTCTGAGTCTTTGCTTGACTCATCAGGGAGAGGGTTGGCACTTGTGTTGCTGGGAACCTACAGGCAAGACAGCCACGTGGACCTGAAGGCTTGTCCTTTTGCTTCAGGCGCAGACCTTCTCTCTGGGGTCATCGGAGTGTGTAGCGCTGGCTCTCATCCAGCAGGTCCTGGCATTGTGGCAAAGACTCAGGCCCAGGACCCCCTTCTGCACCCCCAGCTTGTAAGGTGCCCTGCTGAAAGCCTGCCACAGCCTTTCATTTCTAACGTAGCCAGGAGCCAAAACTCACACTCTTGCATTACAGTGAAGTCTCACTGGTCAGACTTGTAGACTCTATAGGCTTCAGCCACCAAAGGAAAAGGGAAAAAAAAAAAAAGCTTCATTACGAAGTGGCTTTATTTGGGGCGCCTGGGTGGCTCAGTCATTAAGCGTCTGCCTTCGGCTCAGGTCATGATCCCAGGGTCCTGGGATCGAGTCCCACATCGGGCTCCCTCCTTGGGGGGGAAGCCTGCTTCTCCGTCTCCCACTCCCGCTGCTTGTGTTCCTGCTTTTGCTGTCTCTGTCTCTGTCAAATAAATAAATAAAATCTTTTTTAAAAAACAAACAAAGTGGCTTTATTTGAAGGGCACAGACCCCCCTCTGCAGGATGCTGGACAGTAGAAATAAATGCACGAATAAGAAACACGTTCAACCTTCTTTCTTCATGATTTTTCCCTCTACTCAGACCCTGGGTTTCCCCGGGGTAATATTCCTGCTGACTGAAGCTCATAGTCACTCATTTTTAAATCATGGATCTTACATAGACCAAGTCACTGCCTTTTTAACTTAAAGTTACGTTGAATAGTGAGAGTAATGAGAATGTGGGATGGTTGCTATTCATTTTTTTATTTATTAAGTGAACCAATATTTATTGAGCACCCATCAGGCAAAATGCACAACGTCCTGGGATGAAGGTGTAGCCGCTTCCTTTAAGGTTGGACATTGGGCGGGTGGACACTGATGTGGAAAGAGGCAGTAACGAGTGGAGTGATAAATGCTGCACTCACAATGTGGCAGAAACACAGTAACTGTGACGCAGTTATCTTAGAGTTTTAAAAGGCATATTTCAAAAGATTTCTAAGAGTTAATTTGCTCCATCCATTTGACAATATGTTCTAGTCAGTGAAACTTTCTGAGTTCATCTTATTTTTCTCTTCATCCCCTCAAATTCCTAATATATTTGAGACCATGGGCAATTGTGATCGTCACATGTGCTGTGGGAATTGTTTGAGAACCTTCTAGATCAGAATTTTCCAAACTGCAGGTCTCAATCCACTAGTGGGCTTTTAGTCAATCTAATGAGCTGTGAATAGCACTTCTTTAATGAATAAGACAGAATAGGATGCATTGTACTCAAGCAGGGTAGGTGTTGTTTCTTGATGCTTTTGTTTCAATTATACACTTATATGTGTAACGTGCAAAATGTATCTCTTACTGTGGCTCATGGTTTAGAAAATTTGGAAGCCCCTGTTCCCTGTTATAAAGAGAGAACCTGGTAAGTGGTGACTGAAGGAGCACCTAACAGAAATCAAAAGACCCACGTTCTAAGCTCAACTTTGCTACCCTGAGACCTGAAGAAAATCATCTCACCTCTTCGATTATCAGCTTCTTCATCTGTCAACCAGGCCAACGGGTATTATCAAACCTCTCTCCAGATAATGGTGAAGATTAAATGTGACCATAAGTAGAAAGGATGTACAAGCCCTAAAACCCCAAGTCCTAGAATGTAGCAACATGGTAACAGACATTTTAGACCCCTAAACAAACGGGGAAGCAGCATTCCCTAGATGGGATTATGAAGAAGCGATCCTGATCTCCCTCCTCCTTATGGAAGCTCTCTCATCTCTTCTCCCACCTCCCCCACCTCACTCTCACCTCTTATGGTGATCCGTGTTCCTCTTATGTGAAGAGGAAGAGAGTATGCGACGTATTGTCTAGACCGGGCATTATCTCTCTCTCTCTCTCTTTTTTTTTTTTTTTAAGATTTTATTTATTTCTTAGAGAGAGCATGAGAGAGACAGAGCATGAGCAGGGAGCAGGAGTAGAGAGGGAGAAGCAGGCTCCCCGCTGAGCAGGGAGCCCAACGTTGGTGGGGCTCGATCCCAAGGACCTGGGATCATGGCCTGAGCCTAAGGCAGAGGCTTAACCAACTGAGCCACCCAGGGCCCCGGGGCATTATCTCTTACTACCAGCAGGAAGGAAGAAATATCGGCTGAGAACTACACCTGCAAATTTAGTTACAGTTTACAACATGCTTTTAAATGCGGCCTTTCATTTAATCATCACAAAAATCCTTGGCATATTCCTACCCCCATTTTGCAGAAGAGGCTCATTAAGGTTATGTGAATTGCCCAAGGTCCTGTAGCTTATAATGTGGCAGAGATAAGGTCAGCTGGCTGAAATAGCAAAGATGAAACTCTGGAAGCAAATTAATTCAAGGAATCCACATTTCCCTCTGCCCACAGAGGAGAATAACACGAAAAGAAAATAATCAGATGCAGCTAGAGCCAACATCGTGTGGCAGGGTGGGATTGGGGTGCGGAGGGTTCAGAAAGAAAGCCGAGGGCAGAGAACGGAACTCCAGGCTGTCTGCTGCAGGGCCCACCTCCTGAAGGAAGTACCCACCTCTTTTAAGAGGATCTTCAGCCAAGGTAGTGGGAATGCAAGAAAGGGATATGAAAAGCTTCTTTCTCCTGGCCCTGGAGATCAGCCAGTCAACTGCGTCAAGCCCAGTGCTAGCAGAATTTTTCCTCTGGGATTTGAGACCCACACACAGTACTTCCGTGCACAGGGAAAAGCCGGGACTCAAGCTATAGGGAACGTGCAGTTCCCTTAACGGCCACCAGGTGACGCAGTGATCCTAACTACAGCCGCTCTGGGAGTTTGGGAGAAAACAAATTCTGTAGAAGACCAGAAGACCTAGAGTTAACCATCAATCCCAGAAGACCTCTAGAAAATGAAGAAATGCTGATAACTACTTATTAATATATACTTTTTTTCCATGTCAAATTCCTAATTCTGTCAGATGCTGAGTTTGTCCGTTCGGGAACAGGATAAAACAGTTCAGGCTCTGGAATTAGTGCCCCAGCTCTGATACTTGGGTGACCATAGGCAAGCCGCTTGACTTCTCTAAGACCCAGTTTCCTTGTCTGTAAAATATGGATCATGATAGCACCACACTGATGGGGTTGTTCTGAGGATGGTATGAACAGTACATGTTGGCTGCTAATATTTTGCTTTCCTTTTTACCCATTTGACAGTTTGAGAAGCGTGGGTGTGGAGAGAAGGGGGTGCTCACCTCCATTCTCCATTCTGTCCCCACATTGACTATATCAGTGTCGGTGCAGCTCAAGACACCGCATCCCTCAGCAACTTCAGCCACCTTGGACTTCTTTAGGGTTAATGAGAGAGGTCAGCCTACGATCAGGTGAGGGGTGCGGGCAGCAGTGACAGGGGCAGAAATCAGGGGCCGTACAAGGAAACCTGACTCAGGACTCTGCCTTTCAGAACATCAGCAGCAACTCAAAGACAATCACTACATTCCGGCCTTCATCGTTTTCATTTATTTTTACAGGTGTCTCGACC